ATCTTGGTTGCGGTTGCAATACCTTGCTTGGGTCGTAGAGAGTCGCCGGTTGGTGTAGAAAGACCGTGATCATATAGGAGCTCGCGGGATTATATCGTGTCAGGAAGAGACGTGTGACAGAACAAGGTCGCCATTCATCGGTCTGAATGAGGAGTGACCGCACAGAAGCTCACATCTCGACTTTCACCCGAATCAAAACGCCTGCGGTTTACCTTGCGCTCGCACCGGTGAAAGCGATAGTCTAGATGCATCGCGGGAATGGATGTCGTGCGATTTACGCTTTTCTGGAAGGACTTGGTATATACTGCGTACCCGATGCCATGTATTCGATCCGGGTGATCATTGTAGCAGTTGAAGGTCAATATATATATGATATACTTAAGGTAAATTTTGCAAGGAGCGGTGGCTGAGTTCCACACCCATCCGATTTGGTAGTGAGACGTCAGGTCGGACGATGTACATCATTTGTACGGACAACTTGTACATATGTGAAAAGCTTGTTTGATGTTTGTCTCTAAACAGTGAATCATGAATGTTCCATCGATGTCCAGTCTGGCTTGCTGTCAGGCGAGCTCTTTGCGCCCTTCACACCTTCAGTGCAAGGTGGAGGCGTCGGAATTGAGTGGAAGTTAAACCAATCGACTGTGCATGAGTACAGAAGTATACAGCAATGTTTCAATCATTCAATCATGCTTGTCTCTTCATTGTGGGCAGGTGACAGACCTAGAGGTAGATGGAGAGATTTGCTTACTCAGCTTACTCCGCCAAGCCAAATCCTGGCGTCTTTCCGCTCAGAGCTCCCACCAGCTTCTTCAATCAAACCTTGTGCCTTGATTTCTGCCACCGGCATCCTTTCACGTTTGAAGAAGGCTCGCAAACTAGCGCCGCTCCTTCTTTTCGCATCGCCATTCCTTGCGAATATACGGGATCGTGATGCCAGACTTCAGCTGTCAGCTGTCGCACCTGCCAGAAGCTGTCAAACGTGGAAGGAACAACAATACACATGCACGCTGATACCCGCCGAACAGTCTTCGCCAAAAACGTCGGACTAGTGCGCTCCTCGTACGATAAGCAAAAGCAGAGAACAATGGGGTCGTCGCATGCATAGCCTTGCTAGCCATCATGCCTCGGTTGAGGATGTTGCCCCTTTTCGGAAGTCAGGCGCGCGCGGTACCCTATTCAACCGAACGGCGTCGCAAACTACACGATGAAGCATTCATGCGTAGTCGCAAACAGACTAAAAAGCAACAACAGCAAACACCCACGTCTTCCAATCGTCGTTGTGGTGTTGAACCGAATGTGCTGCGACTACGAGTAGACAGCTCCGCCAAATTACTGGGTCCTGCATCTGTCGGCAATTCCGCCGAGAGAAGGCGAACCCAGACCACTGCTTGTCGCGTGCACGACCCGGAGATTTTCAGGACCAATTGGCTAGAAGAAAATACCAATCATGCATGGGGTTCGTGATGCCAAAATTAGATGACAACGGTCTAAGATCGTTTTCTAGACGAAGCTGTCCTTAGCTCTTCGGTGAGAGTAACCGCAACCCCACACCATCCTACATCGTATCCTGAACACGAACTTAGTCGCTGGAACGGGCACTATGGCAGCCTTTCCCGTATGCGCATTGATCATGCGCCGTTTAAGAAGCCCCGTACCGATACCCTTTAATAGCATTACGCAGTCTAGAGGCCTTATATACCGCTGCTCGGCGCAACGGTCTTCACCATCATCATTCGACATTCGTTTAGTCCTTCGTTAGAACATCCAAACATATTAATCATGAGGAGAAACCAACTAATCAGCCTCGCGCTGCTTGCCCCGAGTTGTCAAGCGTACGTCTGGCCCAGCAAGTACGACCAGCTCGACGACCTCTTGTATTTGCAATCTGGTTACATCAGGAACGGAGAACTCTCAGATCGTACGTACCTCTTTCCCCCAGTATATCCCGCTTAAGACTTACACAACAACAGAGGTCCAGACCTGCTCATTCGGCGCTCGCCAACCAGGCATCCAAAAGGCCGCAGAATGGGTGCGAACGAACTTCCACGACGCCGTCACCCACGATGCCTCAACGGGGATCGGAGGCTTAGACGCCTCGATTCAATACGAACTCGACAGACCAGAGAATCTCGGTGCCGCGTTGAACAACACCTTATCCGACATGGCCAGTTCAGTCAACATCCGGAGCTCCGCAGCCGACGTTTTGGCTTTGTCATTGGTCATGTCTGTGGCTCGTTGCGCTGACATGCGCGTGCCTCTACGACTGGGCCGCAAAGACGCGGCAGAGGCTGGCATCAAAGGCGTACCGGAAGCGCACACCGACCTTGACACCACAAGGAAGAGATTTGAAACTGCCAGTTTGACGGAGAAGGAGATGATCACTTTGATTGCTTGTGGTCACAGCATTGGGGGTGTTCACTCAGTCGATCACCCGGAGATCGTTTCCGGTCCCGTCACCGCCGAGAACAAGGCGACTTTCGATACAACCAGCGGAGAGATGGACAACGCTGTGGTAACGGAGTACCTCAACAACTCGACAGCGAACCCATTGGTCGTCAACGCCAACAACACGTTGAACTCTGACAAGCGCATCTTCCTTGCAGACGACAACGCGACTATGCGCAAGCTTGCAGACAAGGCCTACTTCAAGTCGCAGTGTGAAGCTGCTTTCGAGAAACTGATCCACCTCGTACCGGGAGATGTCACACTTACGGAGCCTATGGAGCCCGCAGACATCCGCCCTTACATCACATCATACCAACTCAAGGACGGAGCAGTCGAGTTAACAGGACGTCTTCGTGTCCGAACCACACCAGTCACCGGCCGCGACGGCAACACACTCACAGCTTCTCTCATCCCAGTCTCGCGCAACGGCAGTGCGCCCGCCGAGATCGTCGCCAACCGCGCTACCTACAAGTTAGGAACGTCCTCTGGATACCTAGACGAAGTGTTCCAGTGGTTCGAATTCACCCAGACACTCAACGCCACCGATGCCTTCGACTCCTTCACCATCCGCGTCAACGACAAGACCTACGACAACGGCGGCACAGGCAGCTACCCCATCAACGCCGACGTCCTTTACCAAGAAGCACAGTCATGCACAGCCAAGGACACCACAACAGGCGAATGGAAGATGACCATCACCGCAGCCGTTTCCAAGGCCCTCCTCCAGACCGGTGCTACACCACAGCTCAACGTCTCGAAGAAGACCAAGGTCCAGGGCCTTGTTATTCCTCGTCTTACACCAACGATTGTCGAGATGAGCCCCGCGGGCAAGGAGACTGCCGAGTATGTGTATTACACTGCGACGACGGTTCTAAGTGAGAGGGGCCTGGATTCTACGTTTGATATTGAGGTTGGGGAGTCGAAGGTGGAGTTTATTAATGCGAATGCGCTTACGCAGCAGGAGTGTGCGGCTCTGTAGATACCCAGTTTTAATGACTAATTTTATCGTTCCAAAGCCCGTTTGTCCCAATTTTCTTCGAGTGACATGACAAATACCATGAATAAGAGGTGTCGTGTATTGTTAGACGGCGGCCTCGAGCCCTAGTTTGTGTTATACTTTGTAGAGATTAAATTTTGTTTCTATCTAAATTAATTACTAATAAAGCTACTAAACCTAATTATTTTAATAAGTTAACTAGCCTAATAACGCTAAATCTATAATATATAGCTTATCTATTTCTATAATAGTAATAGTAAAGCTATAATTACTATTTTTAATAGCTATTTATAATACTATACTAGACTTATATAACTATTCTTCTAACTTTTATAGTAGTGTTAAACTATATAATAATTATATTTAGCTTTTTTATTTATTACTATATATAAGTAATAATATTTACTTTATTTATAAGACGCTTTTTTTTTTTTAGAAGCGTCTTTTTATATTTAGTTTTATAGTATTATATTTTTTTACTTTTCTTACTATTACTTATAATACTTTAATATACTATATTACTAGCACTCTTTTTTATTTATTAGGCTAGCTATTACTTTAGTATACTTTTAGTATAATTATATTTAGTATAAAAGTATTTACTATAGTAGTAATTACTTTTACTTTATTAGCTTTATTTTTATAGTAACTAATATTTCTAATATTTTAAAAGTATATATTAGTAAAGTAGTTATAAATTTAAATATTATTTAAGTTTATAAAGTACTTAAAAACTTAATTTAGTAAATATAAAGTAAAGGTATTAAAAATCTAAGCTATAAAACTAATATAAATACTTAAAGTAAAGTTAAAAAAAGTAAATTATAATAAAAAAAGTAACTATAGTATTTATAGTATAAAGTTAAAGTCTTTAGACTTATACTAAAACTAGCTTTTACTTATAAAAGTTTCTTAGCTAGCTATTTTATAAAAAGAATATTTATAAAAATTTTTAATATTATATAAGTATAAAAAGAATAGTAGTAAATATATAAGAAGATATACTAACTTATATATAAAAATATATAGTATTTTTACTTTATAACTTACTTTATAACTTATTTTAATAGTTTTCTAACTAATAAGCTATAGTTATATTACTATTTTATTTAAATTTTAAAATAATAAAGTAATTATATTACTTATATAGTAATTTTTTTAAGATAAGCTACTTACTAAAGTATTAGTAGCTAAGCTAAAAAAGCTTAGTGTACTTTTACGTATACTTATATAAAGTATATATTAAACTTTAGTTTATACTTTTATAAGATACTTAGTAAAGAGTAGTTACTTATTTAAGACTTAATTTTTTTAGACTTAAAATACCTCTGTACGCTGTTTACAACAAAACGTATTGTTAGACAGATTTAGCGCGCGATCACGGTGCTCAGTCGCATGCAATATAACACCAAACATCCTGCACTCGCCAGTATTTCGGGTGCACGATTTTCTTGAACATCTATGAGACCAAGCCTCGCTCTAATTCTTCCTCATCATCTACTAATACATCATCCCCACTGACCACACCAGGAACGCCGAACCATGCAACCCAACCCTACAACTTCGAAGACAGCTTCCCGCTCTTTTGCGCCGTGTACGTGGCGATGAGATCCATCAACGCTGGGCTGAGCACATCGTATGTCTGCAGACCCTCCTTCCTGAACTTCTCTCGTACGACGTCCATCTCCTTCGGATTGAAACCCTGCTCGATGATGCTGCTGACGAAGGCGGCGAACTGGGGCTCTTGCCATCCCTTCTTGTCACTGAGTTCAACGTGGACGAAGTCCAGGCCCTTGAATGGATGGTCGACGACGATGCGACCGAAGAGGTGGACGCCGCATTGCTTGCAGGCGTTGCGCTGGATGGCCGCTGATTCGTCGATGATGTGCAGCTTGTCGCCGTTGGCGGTCACGGAGACGTTGTCCTTTGGAATGACGCCAACGACGGAGAAAAGAGCGCCCTTTGGCTTCCAGCATTTCGAGCAGCCGCAGGCGTGGTTGTGCGCGACGTTGCCAGCGAGGGTAACTTCGACCTTCTTGGTGGGGCAATGGCAGTAGAGCTTGCCGCCGGAGAAGTTTGGGTCGCCCTTCTTGATACCGTTGTCGATGGCAGGGTGGATGGACGGCATTATGAACACTAATTTATCGATGGTTTACTTGGAACAAGAGGTGGTTGTTTGAGGTTATCTGGAGGGTGACAAAGTCGCAGATACTCAGGTACCTAGGCGCACACTATATACGGGTCCTGCGTTCCACATCGAGACTACCACCCCCTCACGGGACTGCGCAACCGATCAAGAAAGAACCGCCCCAATATGTGGTGCGACCGCACGCAATACTGATGGTATTGTGGATTGGAGGTGCGGAGCCGCATAACGTTGCCGCTTTAGGTCACTCGGCCCTTCCCCGCCTCGCTTTGGAGATTGCCGCGATACAGCTGCCTGCCCTTTGGAGGCGATGCAGATGTTCATATTCACTGCATTTCGCAAACATGAAGAGACGATCCGTCACTACAGCTTCGAGATGAGACCGACGCTCTGATGAGCATTGCATTCGGTGGTGGTGTTGCACGTGCGAAGTAGAGGATGCCCCGTATCGGCGCCCGGCAAGACCCTGACTATGTTCGCAGAGGGAAAACAGTAGCCAAGAGCGGTAGTCCGCCAAAAGAGCACATCCAAAAACACCAAAGCTTGTACATCTGTCGATCCAAACTCCCATCCTGTATACCGACTGCTCGCATAGCCGTACCCACCAAAAGCCCACCAAGACAGACCGAAACTACCGCCGCCTCCCAGCGAGCACCCAAGAAGACCAGCGGTGCATAAAATGTCCAGAAAACGACGGCCACCACAACAGTCCACAGCGCACGTCTCCTACCCAACTCAATCGGAATGGTGCGCCGGCCACGGGCTCGATCGCCGGCTTCGTCGCGAAAGTCTTGGGCATGAATCGTTGTGCCGATGATACCAAGTGTGACCAGAAAGATCCATTGCCATGCTGCGTAGCTCATCGTAGTATCCGGGCCAAGGGCGATGCTTAGAGCGCCGCTGAAAGGGCAGACGAGGCCAAGAGCACAGATGGCATTGCGCGAGATGCCGCTGTAGTCGCTTCCGCCCATATCGTGGTACAAGGTGTTGAAGACAACCCATGCGACGTAGATTGGCACTACGTTGAACTGGTAACTGACAAGTGCAAGTGCCAGGTATGCAGCAATCATCAGATTCGTAGTCTGTGCTGCGTTGATTCTTCCTGTTGGGATTGGACGCCAGGGCTTGTTGATTGCGTCTTCTTGGACTGAGGATTCATGACGCTGATTTTGCAGGCAGCATGGCAACAGCATCAGCCAAAGCCATGTCAACGTTGTTAGTACTCTTCGCAATACGGCGAGACCGTCTTGGGGTGGTAATTCCAAAGCTGGGCCGGAAAGAGTGGCGAGCACGCCGAAAACTGCGGGAGGGATGACCACGTCTTTTAGGTTGTCGCACGTGAAGAGGACCAAGGTGTGGGCATGGTACATGATCTTCTTTGCGGCCCTCGATGGGCTTGCGACGAATTTGGAAGTGGGATGATTGTCGATGGGCGTAGAGACACCCATGCTCTCGCCCATGTCTGACGATGTCCCCTCCATGGCAGACATGGTGTACGCAAATTGTGTAGGATAAAGAGGTCGATGTTTGGAGTCCACCGAGGATGAGTTGCTGTGTGTATGCCCTTCATAGCTTCCTCGTCTGTCTCTTATAGCGCATCCCAGCGAACGCTGGCATATCTTGTCACTCCAGGACTGGAACCAGCTTGCTATTCCCTCGCATGCCAGAATCAATACTGCTCGTGCATCCCACGTTCAGCGGGAAGATGAACAAGTGGTACAGTACCATTGGTACCTTTCATCACATCCTGCTTACATGCCTTATCTCGCTGTAAGCCCTGCTGTTCATGTATATCACTCTCCCTATCCAGCCTCGAACATTGCCGTCGCATACTTATTGCGCAGTAAACCGGCATCCGGCGACGAACTTGTGGAAATAAAGCTTTGCGAGTGGTTGTTCATGTTGCGTCCATGTTACGCCCGGCAGAGTGCATATAGATAGCTAAGCGACGTTGTATGCCTTATTTGACGTGAACATTCGGCTAGCAGGCGTAAAGGTTGGATTTCCGGCCATCGTGAGCCTGAGCTATGTAGCGCCATTCTGCGAAGAGATTGTATCTAATGGGAGATGTTGATCTGGATCTTGATACGTGTTGCTAATGTCTGGGAGGCATGTACGCAATGTCCACACTGTGGACGTTGCTCGTAAGCTAGATTTCATACATTGGGTACGAACTTCTTGGTGTTCAGCTTTAGTTATGCTTGCAGCAGCGAGATCAATCGATGGCCGAGTTTTCCGGTAGATGATTAGTGATCCAAGGAATCCTTTGTCGATGCTGCTGTCCAGATTGGTCGACAAAGGCTCCGTACCGCCCGCGTCCATCAAAGTCGCTGTATTGTGTATGCCATACCAAAATGCTTTCTGGTCGTCAGATCTGATGGAAATTACCCTGGCTCCTCGTTGGATGACACCCTCACGGCGATATGCTGGAACTGTGAGTCATATGTCGTCCAGAGAGCTGTTAAAGGCGGCTGTTGGACTTCCCAGAAGCCTCCAAAAAGTTGCAGAACCCGTTCTCGATGCTCATTATTAGCTGTCTGGATAAATTCACGACAGCGGTATGTGCAATAGAAGTGCAGAGCCATAGTCCAGACGTGACGGTGTGACATGCTGATGCCGCGGAAAAATGCATCCGCAAAGGTAAGGAGTCCTAGCACAGTGCCGCCGCGTGCGCGCAAAGCCCCGACCCGTGACCTGCCATATGTGCCTCGCCATTCTACCCTGTCGATATGGATGCCTGTCATACAGTCCAGTGCCTTGCGGGCGCGTCGCAAAGAATGATTGTTGATCGAGCCCTGGAGGGGGGAAACTGCGATGACGGGCGCGAGGACGGGGCCACCTTGGCAAAGCGGCACGGGCCTCGGCCGCGTCGACGCGCCCATCCGAGGTCGCACCTGCCGTGTCTTCTCGCGCGCCCCACTCAACCCATCCTCACATCAATCGTTCGTTCGACTTGCATGGTTCCCTATTCCAGCATCACAGGAATTCCATCGCCATCATGCTTTGGAAGCGTACGAGAACCTCATCGGGCGGGAGGCATCAATGTACCTTCGTCATCTGTCGGGAGCTGTGAATGTGGCCAGCGGCTATCAAATTACCAGAGCCGGGGAAGCGATCCTTTCAGTAGGATCGAGACCTCATTCAACGCGTACTAATGCGCGCCCGGAAGCTCGCATTGGAGCCGTTCGCCCAATATCAGTGCATGCGGACTTTTTGCCTACTCGCTCGTTCATGAGCGTACATTTGCGGTCAAGTTTCGACTGTAAAAGGGCCAGCTAACCTCGTCCTTGATCCCATCTCAGTCTTTCCACCTATCTCTCGACCATGAAACTCATTGCGGCGATAGCATGTGGCACCGTTGCCGCCACCGTAAGGGTGTCGGCCCAAGACACATTCGAAGCACCTGATTTCAATGTAACCGAAGCCCTCATCCAGAATGGGGTCAACGTTTCCGCAGTGCCTGAATTGGCGGGCTTGGCCACCCGATCGTCTCTAAGCGGCTGCTCCATCGCAGTAAGTTTTGGCACAGTGCCTCACTGCAACATGAGCTAACATCCGCGATAGTGTGGCTCGCTCGAAGTCATCTTCGGTAAAGAAAAGACTGTCCGTGGACAGAATGCCGAGTATTGGTCAAACCAACAAGCCGCCGTTGTGCCGTATTGCACCTTTACTCCCAAGGCCACTCTTGAGGTGTCATCCTTGGTATTGATATCTCGCCTTACCCAGTGCCCCTTTGCGGTAAAGAGTGGTGGACATGCCGCGTTTCCGGGTGCTTCCAGTATCCATGGAGGTATTACGGTTGACTTGAAAGACTTTACCGTGCGCAAGCTGTCTGCGGACCAGAAGACTGTCGCTATTGGGCCAGGTAACCGGTGGATAGATGCATACCGGTATCTCACACCGTACAACTTGACGATAGTCGGTGGCCGAGTACGTTCAATCCGGACGTCAAGCTACTCTCCATGAAGTGCGCTTACATCTTCTAGGCCGCACAAGTCGGTGTTGGTGGTCTAACTCTAGGTGGAGGCATCAGCGACTTGACGAACGAATACGGTCTTGCGTGCGACAATGTCGCGTCCTACGAAGTCGTTACCGCGTCTGGCGTTATCGTCAACGCGTCTCCGAGTCGCTATCCCGATCTATACTGGGCCTTACGCGGTGGTGGAAACAACTTCGGCATTGTCACAACCTTCCACTTTGAGACTATCGTGCAACCACCCATGTGGGGTGGCATGCGTATCCACGACCCCAGCACCACTCCCGCATTGATCACTGCTTTTGAGAACGCCATCAACAATGCCGAAGCAGATACGAAGCTCGCACACGTTGTGTCATTTACAACATACGATACTTACCAGCTCGCATTTACCGAACTCGAATACCTCCTCCCGGTCGACCTCTCGCACCCTCCCGAAATCGCTAGGAAGTATCTCAGCATTCCATTCATGCAAGACAAGACGAGTAACAGTACTCTCGAAGATCTAACGCCACACCGAAGCGACGATATGCCATCTGGTTTTCGCACCTCCATGTGGTCTGCGTCATTCAAAATGAGCGCCGAGCTCATTCAAAAGATGACCGACAGATTCTTTGAGGTGGCACCTGGTCTGCCTGCCGTCTCCGTGAACATTGCATTCCAAGCGTTTTCCAAGCCAGCGCTACAAGCGATGCAAAAGAAAGGTGGTAACGCCCTCGGCTTATACCCCGAAAACGGCCCGTTCTTTCATGTCTTGGTGTATATGGCGTGGAACGAGTCTAGCGACGACACAACGATGATGAAGGCTGCCCAGTCCTATATCGAGACGTCCAAGGGTATGGCTAGGGATCTGGGCGTCGATAACGAGTACTACTACATGCCGTACAGCAGCGGTCATGAACCTGTGGTTTCTGGGTATGGAGAGGAGAACATGGCGAGACTGAGGGCTATATCGCACAGGTATGACCCGATGCAAGTTTTCCAGAACCTGCAACCAGGGTACTTTAAGCTTGACGGGAAGGCACCGCTTGGTGCGAGTCTTTGAACAGCGCGCATGAAGCGAGCTGACAATGCTCTATATTTCTGGGTTCTGCGGCGTTCGCATGTGTGTGGCTGAGGCCATTCGGGTAGCTAACAACGGTGAAGCCCCAACACCGGCAGAATACCTTCATTCTTTGCGAAGATATTACGATGTGCGCCTGCCCCTCTGCGCTGGATGTTATGCTTGAGCATAACCGATGAATACAACTTCGACTGTCTGTGGAAATTTGATTTGAAGGTAAATTGAAAGGTCCCTGGAGAACATGCGGACAGGCCCGCCCGCCCGCAGACTGTGCCGCAATACTAAGACAGCGCTAGTGGCGGAGCACAGTGCTTAGCTGTCTTAGCCTAAAATCTGTGTCTCTTCATATTGCTATTGCCAATTTATTACCTCCCCTCAGCTACCAAACTCGTCATCGCCATAATGAGATTAGAAGGCACTCAATGCATCGATGCAGGAGTGGTAGTTCTCTGTCTGGAGACCAGGAATACGATTCCTCAGCAAGCTGCCAGTTATACAACGGCACCCGAACGCATGGGCTGTACGTTCTTCTACCTCCGAGAAGCAATGTATTCCCTTCAGTGACGACATAGGCTGTTCAAATGATACGAGTGAACGTCAGATCTGCGACATGTAAGAAGAACTACAGGTCAATGGGCGATAGGATAGATCCATCGACAGCCCATGTGGTACCAATAGAAGACTGCAAATGAAGTACTATCACGCTGACTGCTTAAGGTCGTCGCTGCAATGTCATAAAGTAAACACAACTCAGCCTAAATGTTTACCATCATGATGACTGCTGGGGTCGTTGCTGCAAAGCAACAAATTAAACACAATTTACTTTGAACGAAAAGGTGTTGTGTGGGGCTACCTATGTAACTAACTTGTCGCTGCAAGACAATAACATGACGGCAATCGTCCCTCTGGGAGATGTATAAAGTCCTTCGCTCGCCGTTGAGCTTGGTTTCCACCACAAGAAACAGAATCACTCCGCACACCAAAAGCCTCGTTACCATACCCACATTACTCCAACCACAATCCAGAATCCCCAAGTCACGATGTTGTCCTTGTCCTGGATCGCATGCCTCACCGTTCTCCTTCCCTTGGCCACCGCCGCGTGCTGTAACGGTGACGACGACGTCCGATGTGCGGATGGCACTCGAAGTACACCATGCTGCGGATACGGAAAATGCAACATATTCTGCTGCGCCTGCAAAGGCGGCTGTCGTCACAGGAAACGGGACCTCCCCGAGGCATTCGACCTGGCTGATCGTTCGGATGCTACCACGACGGCTTTCATGGAAGCTGATACGGAAGGTACGGGCAGTATCACTCTGGACCGCTATCTGGAGTATATGGCGGTGAAGGGAGATAGTGAGGTTTGGGTCAAGTGGTTTAACGAGTAAGTGCTAGTATTCTTCTTGTTGCTATTGGGTGTGGCGTTGACTTGACAAAGGCACGACACGAAC